ATATTTACGCACTGCAGGTGGTGTTCTGTCTCCACGGGTAGATTCTGACATTGGCGGACTGGCAGGCACTGACATATGCCTCAACGGCCCTGCAGAGGAGATCCTCGCCCCCACTTCCAGCCACGCAAATGTCAAAAACGCAGTCACTGAAGTAGGGTGCTGGATCCACCTGCTCATGGCAGAAGCTGAAGGGGCCATTGAGGGCCTGGATGACCTCACACTGAGCTCGAGCAGGCCGATCATCATTGCACTGTGGGCAGGCGGAGCCGCAGCCGTCGCTGCAGGTGTAGTTCCCCGACACCTTCCAGGCTGCCCCAAAAACATCTGGGGAAGAGACCGACACTCTGCCTGGAGTCTGGAAGTCATCATTTGGATTTCCGTTGAAATTTCCACAAAGTCCACATGTTTTTCCTCTGAAGAAATAGAAAATTTGAAAAAATAGAAAACATATAGAAATTGTAAAAGAAATGTAAAAAATAACAAGATGGTTTCTAATGTCTGAAATCAAATGTACACATTTAATCAAACCTGTAACTTGGAGGTACAGAGATAGACACTGTGCTCCATCCATCATATGTGATTCTCAAGCCAAAGTCTGCACTGACAAATGTTTGAGATCCACTTGCAAAAACAGATATGTTACCATTCAAGAGAATTGGTAGATTTCTTGTTATTCCATTTACCTGTAGAAAAACAAAATTGGAATAATTAATCATTTCTGACTTTTTTCATTCCATATTTTGGCCGACCGGTAAATGAGATTCATATATCTCAGTTATTTCTCCCTGAGAGATAACACAACTCACCTCAGCCATGCCCCTGTTGTGTCCTGACATGCGCACTTGGTAGCCCAACACATTCACAAAGACTTCAGCTGTAATAGACACTGGAAGCCTATTCCATGGCTCATTCTTGGCTTCAACAGAAAACTGATGGAGTTCACTGGTTTCATTGCAAAGTGTGGCCAGAACATATCGACAGGTTCCCTGAAAGTCATAGGCCCTGCCGTCAAAGGTGAGGTAGTGAGGGTCACCAGAGGCGGAGCAGGTGCCGTGCGGGTTGGGGTGGCAGCCAAACTCTCCGTCCACCACACGACAGGACTCCTGGGTACCACAAGAGCTAGGGAGGCACTGGACCGAACCAGTTACGCCGTTACAGGTGCAGAAGCTTTGACACTCCTCGCCATCCCAGAACTGCTCGCCACTTTGCCGATAGCGTCCTTGATGATAGCATCCACAGGATGTTGGCTGCACGCACTGGTTACCATTGAGGACAAAGCCGTCATCACACTGGCACCCATCCTGACATGGAGTGTCACAGGTGAAAGGGAAAGACAGGCTGGGGCAGGCAGACGGACACGAGGTTCCACAGAGTTCATAGTGGCTGTTTGAAGGGCAGGTTAGCTCTGCAAACAATGGCAAATGTGTTCGTTGGAAAAGCCAATTCTATATGTATTTCTCACAGATGCTTCATTCAACTGAAGGACAGTACTCACCACAGCTAGTTGCATTCCTCCATTGTCCCAGAGAAACACCCTTCTGTTGACACATGAGCGCATAATCTCGTAGGACTTCACACAGCGTTGATGGTGGATCTCTAGAACTGCTTGTGATGTCCACACATGCATCAACCTGCTGCCATGGGTCCATCACGGCCCAACAGGGTGTGAACGGCCCTTGAGGTGAGCTCAGAATGCCACAGTACTCACTGGAGTTGTAATTGGTCGCAGTGGGACCATTTCTGCCCTCCACACAGTGTGCAGTGAGGGAGCCATCTCGCCAACTGTCTCCAAACGCCTGAGAACTGTTGACCAGGGTGCCGTTGGGTGTTTGAAAGTCATCATAGGAAGGACCGTTGTAGTTTCCGCAGAGTCCACCCAGTGAACCACTGTACACTCCAGGTGCAGTGACACGCACATAGTGAGGCCAGACTGTTTGCACAGTTACCCCAAATGCAGTGCGCAGGATGATACTGTAAGTGCTGCTTTGATGGATGCGGATTCGGTTGGACCCCAAGCTGAAGGGTAGTCTGACCAGTTGACCATCAACCTGCAAAGTGTTTAAACAGTTACTCTCACTTTTTTTTGAGGGTGACAAGCAAATTATGATAAAATTGAAAGACCAAGCTGGGCTGAATTCATTGGATTTAGTCGACATTCTAGGACCCCGGAGGACTTTCCATTATTTTGCACTTTCATTTCAGTCACTGACCTTCACTTGGTTGCTCCTTGCCATCTCAATGGTGACTTGTGTTCCCTCTGCCTCAAACTTCAGCACGTTGGAAAATCCTTGCTGACCTCTTGGCAATTTTTCTGCTGTCACCATAAAGTGTGGGTGATCTGACAATCCCATTACTTTGGCGAGAGTCAGTCGACATGCCCCAGGATACTGGTAAGTCAGCCCGTCAAATGTGCGATATGACCCGGGGCCCCTGCTCCAGCATGTGGCATAGTTATTTGGTCTGCATCCTCTTTCTCCATCTTCTACATGGCACGATTCATGTGGGCCACAACGGTGGAAGCTGCAAGTCATGTGGCCATAACTGCAGCTACAACGCCTCCCACAGTCCTCATCTAGTATTACAGTTTGTCCGGAGCGATAGTAGCGACCCTCAAAGCTGCAGCCACACTGAGCATGAGGGACACAAACCCCACCACTGAGGATGTATCCCGCATTGCAGACACAGCTCTCCTGGTCAGGGAGAGGACAGTTGTGTGTGGAGTTGGGGTTGACGCAGGTGGCTGGACATCCTGTTCCTTGGGACTCAAAGTGGCTATTAGCTGGGCATGGGATTTCTGGAAAGAGATGTTAAACGTAATCGATTTTCACATTATGGGAATTCTGTCATGAAGTAAGTTATATTTTTACATTTTTCAAAAGACTGACAGACATACCACAGAAGCCGGGACTCCGCCAGCTTGGAAGCTGGATTCCGTTTTGTTGACACTGACTTGCGTACACATTTAGAGCCTGACAAAGAATAGGTTGGTACCCGCCGCCCACACATAAATCATATATGCAACTTTCTGCAAAAGTCTGAGGTGGAAACCGTTGGTGGCAGGAAGCAAACGGTCCAGAGCTGCTCTGGAGGATGCCACAGTGAGCAGCGTTGCCATACAACGCCCTCTGAGCCCCGGTGCAGGCAGCACAGGCCAGACCTCCACACTGGGCCTCACACCCGGGCTCATCATCCCCTGAGGCTTTCCAGCTGTTTGCAAAAACCACATCAGAGCTCACAACCTCGCCGTCACGGGTTTGAAAGTCATCATTAGGGTGATTGTTGAAGTTTCCACAGAGGCCACATGTTGCATTCTGGTAGGTGTAGGGCACACTGATCCGGACGTGGTGATTTGTGTCGTAAGACACCAACAAGCCAAAGTTGGTGCTGACAATCACATAAAAACCTGATTCATAGACCTGAACTGTGCCATTACTCAGGGAGAATGGAGTTGTGGCAAAGTTTCCGTTGACCTGTGAGCAAACCAACATCAGTTAAAGATATGCAAAGAAAAACCCCAGAGTTTATTTCTTTATTTTGTCTGCTAACCTTGGCCTCACCACGGCGTCCTTTGACAAGTTCAATTACATCATCATAGACATGCACTTTGACCAGTCGTGTCCATGAAACTCGTGTGCTACCTCTGTGCTCGTTCTTGCCCTCCACTCTATAATAGGGCAACCCAGACTGACACTGTTCTGACAGAACATACGTGCAGGTGCCCTGAAAGTGAAACACTGAGTTGTCAAAGGTGTAGTAATGTGGATCCCCACTGATGGTGCAGGTCTTTCTCTGCACTGTCTGGCAGGAGAACTGGAAGGAAGATGGCCGACAGATTTGGGAGAAGGAGCAGGGCTGGTTGGAGCACTGCAGCCCCCCCCTGGTGCAGGTGCACCTCTGTGCACAGGTGCTGTCGCTCCAGAAGGAATCCCCCTGCTGCACAGGTTCACCTTTTCAGAAAATTAAAAGAAAGGTTACTCCAAAAAATCTTGAATTTTTACTTTTGAAACAGAAAACATTGTAGTTCAATCAAAGTTTTGAGTAGCACGTCCAACAATAATATCATAGTGGTGACAAAAAGTGAAGCCGTATCTGTTGCAGAGTGGCTATGTTGGAACATATTTTTCAAGTACTGACTAATGCCTCTGGTCAAACCTTTGACCCTGGTCTTACCGTTAAAAGTACAGTCTGTCGTTCCATTGTCTACCTGGAAAGCCCAGCGACCAGGTACATTGACATTACTGTTGAGCCTGAAAACTGAGCTGCTGCCTGTTGCAGTACTGGATAATGACCCAGGGATGGAGTAGTGGTGAGAAGAATTAACTGTGTCATATCCTGCCTGGAATTGAAATATCACACCAATTAGTTTATTATCACCAATTAGATCCATTAATGACATCATGTTTATTGACATCAGTGCATTTCTCTTGGACCAAACATGGTTTGTTGCACATTGCATACGCTCATATTGACTTTTACCTGCACACTCCTGCTTGTCTGTGCTATGGCTCCATAGTTCATAAGAACAAATGAAGATCGGCCATCGGATGTTAAAACTGCCTGAGCTGTTGTCCGCTGGAAATAGTAGAAAAAATTACAGATCAAACAAATCACCAAATAAAATAAAAAAGTTTACTGTTTGAGCAGGAACACTTACTGTTCCAGTTGTTGGAAAATAGGCCACTTCATACCATGTTGCTATAAAGACCCAGTTTGCATTAAAGTTCCGTCCTGGAAAGTAGTTATTAATGTCTTGTGTAGCCTGTTGGACTAAATTGCCGCTGGTGAACTGGGCATAGAAGACATCACCATTGCCTCTGTTGTCCAAATCTGTCCAGAATGGGGCGATGATGTCTCTGGATCCATGCATTGGAAATTGTTGAGGACTATATCTATACCATGGTGCATTAAAGGTCAGGTGTCCATTGTGGTTCACCTAAACAAAACAAAGAAATCCAGTCTTACAAAGAGTCTCAAAATGTCCATTCATCTGATTTGAAACAGTTTGCTATTTCATGTTAATATGTCTATGTTTCATTAATGTGCTGTATCTATATAGAATTTGATGTTTTTTAATCAAGTTGTTTATGGATTTAAAGATATAGAAATTCTAGATATAGAAAATCTAATTCTCTGATCTAATTTATTCTGTTCTGTTTGTCTCTGCATTTCAAAATCTATTTGGTTATTTTTGCACTTCTAATCTCACTTAATCTTACTTCTGAAAGATGCAAACCACATAGCTTAGTGGCTGATAATTAAAGACTAAAATGTATCAATGATAAAAATGACGTAAGCATACATAAATCACAGAATAAGACATCCCAAAGAAAGGAAAAGGCTGTGGAAGCGAAATGGCTGGGGAACTTCCATCATCTGATCGTGAGCTCCTCGTTCCACCAACATAATAGAGGGGTCCTTTAACAATAAAAAAAAAGGTTAAAAGGCCACAGTTAGAATCATCATCTTTCATATATCTAAATCCTGATATGAACCAATGAATTTTATGCCCACAATTTCTTACTGAGCGTCACACACAACATAATAAAGTGGTGAATGATTTCTCACTGTGGAACCTTGTTTTTGGAACTGAATTCAATTAAATTCAATTTTATTTTTTATATAGCGCCACATCACAACAGTTATCTCACAGCGCTTTCCAAACAGAGCAGGACAGACCCTACTCTGAAGTTAATTACAGAAGCCCAACAATTCCCACCAAGAGCAAGCACCAGGCAACACAGGCAAGGAAAAACCTCCTTTTGACAAGCAGAAACCTCGAGCAGAACCATGACTCGGCCTGTTGGGGACTGTTTATTATTTTCCATTTGGAGACCTAATCATTGTAGGTTTCATTATTTTGTCAAGGTAAGACATTTTTACTTTGAAACTGATGCATTTCTGAGCCTCAATTTCCCTATTTTTGTCAAATTCTTGCTTTATCATTCCAATAGCAAAAAGCAGTGTTACCTAATTGTAATAATGTCTTATAATAATAACAACAAAAACCTTGATATTGCTTGTTTTTCAAAAATGAAATTAAAGGCTTTAAACACTGCCAATTGATATGTTTCTGCAAACATCTTTGCAAGGGAGAATATTTCTGCATGCTAACACCTTAGATTAAAGCATTTCCATATTTTACAAAACAGCCCATTATTCAAATAATCTGTCTGACATGTTTTACAGCTGTAAACTTTAACTAAATCTGGGTGAATTTTAACTTACCGGAGTATTGAGCTGTCACTCCACCTATCAAAACAAGTACAAATATGTAATTAAAATAAATAAATATCTGATACTGCTAATTATAAAATAGGCATAATTCACAGATATATCCACACATAGGAAAGCGAGTACTTACTTATGAATGACAGAAGTAGAAGTGACGAGATGATTTCACCTGCCATTCTTCCAAATTCGAATGTCAGATCTGCAACACGTTTTTTCTTAAATTTTTCTCTTTAGATATTTGTACACATTTTTATCCATAGTAATTTAGCAAAATGGGATGAAAAACAAAACATTTAACAACTAAACAACTAAAAACAACTAAAACTAAAACTTGTATTCATTTTATTTATGAAGCCTGAGCCTTGTGCAGATTGTTTCTTTCATAGAAATCACTTATCACCACAAATTTCAAAAAATTCCATTTTTTACATCGTTTCCGCTATAAAAAGTGAGAGCTTTACCTTCTCATATGCGTCGGTTGTTAGTACACATCTAAGGTGAGGCTGCAGGAGCGCAGCGAGACTTTATACGAAGGAAGTTGGCACAGTTCCCAGGAATTCCAGTAAGATGTATTGATGGATAAAGCACGTTTGCCTCCCCGTGAAATATAATTCAGTACATCCGGTCTCCAAAATTATTCAGAACAGTTGTTTTCAAAATAGTGACTGTAAGTAACAATTTTATCAAAATAACTGTGTTACATTCCATTTATTCTTTACAAGTACTTCAGGATAATCACACATATAAGACAGAACAGTCTGTCTAAATGTATTTTGTGTTTCTATCCTTTTATAAAATACGTTTTCTTTAAAAAATTTTATATTCAAACTTTCCAGACCAGTCCCAAGCAATTTAATCTTTTGAACTGCTGTTAACAATAACATATACATTCATATTTTCAATTAATAACTTAAGGTCTTTCTTTTCAGACATGCAATATGAAACAATAATTGCTCAAACTGAAGGAATAACGTATCATAGAAAATTAATCACAATTATCTTTTTTACTTTCATGATGAGTTGGACACTGGTGCCCACCAGAATGTTATTTTTGGTCAGGTAGAAAGTCTCTTGCACGTGTCTTATTAAGTAACTGAAAACAAATGTGATGCTTTGTTTTCTTCAAGGCAATTCATATCTTATTTTTTTTGCCAAATTCTTCTTCCAGTTATAAGACTCTTGTGCAATTCTTAACTGTTGCATAATGTTCTGAATGTCCATAAATGATAATTGTCTAAATTTTAAAATGTTATTTTTCTATTTCATCCTTGTTTTCTTTATTTGGACAGGTGTGAAGACTTGGCATGTTAATTTTTGGTGTTTTATTTCACTCTGCTGTTGTATATACGGAATATTTTGAGGTTTTTCATATGAGGACAAAATTTAGGACATTTTTCACAAGGTCCTAAAATCGGAAAAATGCAACTTCAGATAATAAAAAGACCACCGTGTCTTTATGTAGTGGAAAAAATAAGCTAGGATGTACAAGTAGTGAGTACAAACCAAGCATGCTTCAAAACTCATCAGCTTGTAAAACTCTTTTTTGCAGGAATAACAAATGTTCTGTTCAGTCAGTCTCTCCCATAGCTGTCGAGGAGTTTTAACCCCCTTTTTTGTACAACATTGTCTGAGGTTTGTGGTTACTAGCCCTCTTATGGTCCTGTCACAGCCATTCAGAAATGTTAAGGCCTGAACATTGACTAGTACTCAAATTCTCTCTCAGACACCCTTTACGTTTTTGTCACACACTGCGTTGCAGATTTGCTGCTGTGTTTTTAATAACTCTGGTTGATGTCTCAATTCTAGCTTGTAATTGTATTTGTGTAGCTGTCAGACAGCCTCATATTTGACTCCATCCATCCATTTTCTTTTGTTTATTCCCAGTGGGGCCACGGGGGGCTGGAGCCTATCCCAGCTAAAGTGAGAAGTGCACCATGCAACTCCTTTCAAACGTGACACACAAATGTTTGTGTTTGAAAATGAAATCGAAAATAATGCGATTGCCACACCTAGTTGACCTGAGAGCATTCAAAGGGAGATTTACATCTCCTGAAATGAAACTTTGTTCTTTGCTGTACAAACACAAATGTGCAAAGAAAACAACTGAACAATGCTGGGATGAACAAACACCCATCAGAACAATGGGACCTCTCAATCAGATAAAACAGTTGTTTGGCTACATGGCAACCTCAAATCTATCTGGTTCATTGCTTTGGCTACAGGTACATTCTGAATTCAGGTCACGGAAATGTTTGACATATTTAATTTAATTACATCTTTAATTAAAACTCAGGCCTCCAGTTGGAGCTCAGTTAAGAGTTAATATCCCTGTTATACTTTATATCCCTATAAGGGTCTCAAAATTCACTAAAAAGAGGTAGAAAAGATGCAATACAACAAAGTTCTGCCATAATTGATGATCATAAAGGTCTTCTAGTCCATGTACTGCATGTAGTGCAGAGACAGATTTGTCTTTCAGAGGTCAGACATTAGGGCAGCAGTCAACAGGGTCATGCAACAGTCAGGATGTGGTCAGTTATCCTTGGAGTAAACAGAAAAATAGGTTGCTGGACTGCATCTTCTCCAATGAATGTTTTTGATAAGTTGTTTCCCTGTCGTGCGAATGGAAGAATTCTGTCCGTGCTTTTAGTTTTGTTTGGTTTTCTGGCTGCCAAATGCTTGTTTAAGCTTTGAGTGAGAAATACTGGTTTGGAAGTGGGGAGATAAAGTCTCTTAACGCTTAATTGTGTTTGAATACATTTGGCCCCTCCCACATAGGCTCTTCAATTTTTCCATTAATGGAGCAGCACATGTTTTTCTTTCTTTTTCTGTTGCAAAGAAGACTCCAGGAACTTTTTAGTGTGCATTACCAGCACTTTATGTGCATTTTAAATGGCCTCACGTTGGGCATGAAAATCACATATCTGCTGTTAGTCTATATTAACATATTGTCATGAAACACTGGGGGCTTCGGTGTCTAAAGGTCAAATAAAGTTAAAAAGCGTTGCTCAGTTTGATATGAAGGGATTTAAAATCTGGACAGTACTGTATTTTGCTTAAGTCCTTATACACTGAATTTGAAATGAAACAACTAACGATTCATTCCATCTGCCTCAACTGTGTGACAATAGCTGATTTAGTGTCTTCTTATCTAGCTGACACCCTTCTCTTCTTCACCTGTCCAGCTTCAGACTTCCCATATTGTCCCTGCTCTACTTGTTCTCTTCTCCTTTTCAGAATCTTGCTACCATATTCCAATCTAATCCAATAATTTTTAGTCTTATGACAAGGGACCTGGCTGTTATTTTTCTATCTTTACACAAACCAAATGACAGCGAAAATAATTTAAGGTCCCTAACACAATCCAGTTAGCCCAGTTTTCATATGTGAAACAGCGTTGACCCTAAGGAGTGTTGTTACCACTCATTACATTGTCTTTACTGGTGAGAAAATGTTAAAAAAAGAGCCATAATATGTATATGAATGATAAGAAAAATTTGAGACAGCTACAAAAATTTGAGGGAGACTCACAGTGTTAGTGTATACTGACACCGACAGCCTTACTTTGTGCCTCATGCAGGTGAGCTATGCCATGTCTCTGCTGCAGAAGCTTGGAGGAAAGTCACCACGTGACAGCCAGCAGACAATTATCAATGAAGAAATGTGTTGGCCTTTTAATATGGCAGCAGGTGACATAAGTGGCTGACAGTAACTGAAATGTAAAATTGCATAATAAGGTTTCAAATGTGTGTGCAGCGTGTAACAAGCATGTAAGTGTGCTTTTATCATTCTGTAGATACATTTCAGTTGATACCCGTCATATTTATCCCCAGGCTATAAGTGCCCGACACCGGGAAAAAAAAGTGTTTTCACCTGGATGTGAAGTCAGAGGACTGGAATAGCATGAGCTCAGTGCTCATCTCCTTAGTGGAATAGTCACTTATACTGGCAGAAAAAAAATCCAGAGTGAGAGAATTTCTGTAACATTAACCAACCAATAGCAAAGACCAAATTGTGCATTTAAATCCTGTTTATGTGGCTGAATATTTCATACTATTTAGTATCTGGGAACACCAGCTGGCATGGATGATTGTTCTCAACATCATATGTTGATTAAAATAGCACTATTTTGATCAGTCAATAAATAGACTGGTGATATTAAGAGACCTGTTTTCAGGGAGAACTTGACAAATATTAGAATGAGCTGTCCTTTCTAAAAAAACAATCTGTCTAATAGGCTGTTTAATACACCTGAACTCAACTTAAGTTGCCACCCATCTAAATAATGAAAGTAAAATGTGACAATGAAAAAAATTTGTGCAGTGAAAGCAACCACAGGAATGTTGAAGTAAAACAAAACCGTGCATCACCGCAAAGATATGCAAAAAAAATAAGAAAGCACCCATTTGTAATGGTCCATTTACTGGTTGTACCTCAGCAACTTGTAGAACCAGTAATAGCAGCTGGTCCACGTTTTCCCATAAAAGGAATTCACGTCTACGTTTTTTGAGTCTCATTGTTATGATGTTATGATAGACAGATTATGATGACAGATTGTTATGATGGACAGATTTGCCTCCATGCGCCAAACTTATTTTATGTTCAGTGGCTGGTTGAGCGATTGGGAGAATGTGTTTGCTCGGTTTCGATGAACATGCCCTTTTTTAAAACATTGGCACAGGTTTCTATGGGGTGGCATTCAGACAGTCTAAGTTAAGTTTCGTGCTTCCGATTAAACAAGGTTTTCAAATCGAAAGCGATGATAATATACATTTGAAGGTTTTTTAGGAAAAAGAAAATATACTCTCGTGTGTGGGATCTCTGAATGAAGACACATTTTTAAATAATGAAAGAAAATGTGCCACCAGAGCACATAAGTATCATTCAGTGCAGCCACAAATGAATAAAAGTAATGCTGTTCCTCTGTGGGCCCTCATAGTTAGGCAAGCCACAGGAGAAAACCTAATGGTTTGCAAAAGGAATTCCTTTTCTTTTTGTAATTGTGATTTGCATTTGATTGGCAGACAGTGATCGCTTGGTGCTCCACATTGCAAACCCAGATCAGATCAAATAAGAGATCAAATGTGCCAACAATATATATCAGTGCTTAAACAGGAAACAAAATTAAGATAGCAAAATGAGTCCTTTCATGTCATCAAGTGTGATTCTGGTTAAACCTGACCGAGGATTGACCGATATCTTTTAGAGATGCTCGAATGTGCTCTTTTTATTGTATATACTGACATTTTTTTTAAATAAAGAGTAATGTCACATGTCAAAGTTATCTTGTATTTTCTCCTGAAAAGGGACATTTGATAGTGTTACTGTTTTTTTAAAGATTATTGTTACTCAGGTCTAATCTAATTGGAGGAAAACAAATAGTGCAACATGACCTAAACCAGCAGATGGAGCAGACTGCAGGTGGAAGGAGATTTTCCCGGCAGCGCTTAATCCTTGAATTGTACAACCCCGAAAAAGTGAATAGATCAAATTACGGTAAATCTTGAATTAAATAAGGACCAATCCTCCTGTGTTCAAATACAGATGATTGTTTGATTTTTAATGCTATCCAAGTGACCTTTTTGTCCTCAACTTAACTGAAAGCATTTCCCAAAGAACGCACGTGAACAATTTATATTGTCTTCCTGTAAAGTTCACTCTGGGACTTCACAGAAGCATATTTAGTTGCAGATACACAGTCTGTGCCAGATCAGATTAAACCTGTCAGCGGCCATCAGCACTGGTGGTTCACAGTAATGTGACAAATTCTTTTTTTTTTAACCCGCATGCCAACACCAACACTGTGTAGAGTTACTGAGAATGTGTTTGGCGTGACTAGATTCTTTGTCGATTGCATGGCACGAGACTAGGGCCCTGGCTCGCTGGCATTTGTCATGAAAACCACAAAGAAGTTTAGATTTTGTTTGTCATTTTAAAGATAAAACTAAGAATAGTTTAATAAGTGTCATTTAACTTAAATTCAATCAACAGCGAAATGTTAGAATCAACCGGTTTTCCCCAGTTGAAAATGGATATCTGTTGTTGCAGTTCAAACTATCGAGCAGGTATAAAGAATGAGCATATGTTTAATAATGCTCAGCCCAACACATTTCACTTTTCTGATGCTGGCAGGCACTGGCCGACTGTGGACCTGGGTTGGGAAACACTAATCTAGGGCTTGTATTTGTTTGTATCTGAGACTCTCTGCAGTCTTTATGGTTTTAAAACTTTCCACTTGTGAAAATCCAATCAAGGAGAACAACTTCAAAACCAGTGCATGTATCTGAGAAATAAACGCTTTTGCAGAAAAATGTAACTGGCTGCCAAGTTTGGTACAGTGCTTACTAGAATTTAAGTCAAACAGAATTAGTTTTCTCCAAATCAAATGAGCCGGTCGACACTACGATGAGCAGAAAGGTTCTCATTTGATTTCAGCCGTCACTCAGATTCAGGTTCAGCGTGGTGCATTCAGGAGCAGCTGTCTCTTTATTGCTAGCATTTGCGTACTAAAAACTGCTACACTTTTATAAAATGAAAAACACAGTAATTACTTCAGAAACTGTTGAATCATTGAAAACTTAATGCTTATCATTCACCAACTTTCCAACCTT